AATCAACAGGTAATGAATTTACAGAAGAGGAAAAATGATTCATTAATAAAACTTACAGAAAAGATTGGCCCTTAGAAGTATTTAAATAAACGAAAGTAAAACGCAAGTTACTACTTTCAACCCATGATGTGAAAGTTGTCAGAATCAAAATGAAGTCATGGATTTTAAGTAAATAAATAAAGGCCGTGCGCGGTGGCTCACGCCTGTAATCCCAGCACTTTGGGAGGCCGAGGCGGGCAGATCACGAGGTCAGGAGATCGAGACCATCCTGGTCTAACACGGTGAAACCCCGTCTCTACTAATTAGCCAGGCGTGGTGGCGGGCGCCGGTAGTCCCAGCTACTCGGGAGGCTGAGCCAGGAGAATGGCGTGAACCCGGGAGGCGGAGCTTGCAGGGAGCTGCTTTCCGGCCGAAGCGTCCTCCCGCAGGCCCTGGCGGGGTCAACATTCCTGCCACGCCTCGCGCTGCTTGCGGGGTTGCACCCAGGGGATGACCTTTTTCCTTTGCGCAGAGAAGGGGGCTTGAGAAACCCGAGCTCTGAGCCAGGTGGGATTCATTCATTCATGCATGCATGCATTCATTCATTCATTCAGTCAGTCAATCAGTCAACAAATATTTGTCAAGCCCCTACAACATGCTAGGTACTGTTCTAGGTACTGTTCTAGGTACTGAGGGACAGAGCGGTGCCGGAGGTAGACGAGGTTCCTGCTCCTCTTGCGTTTGTCATGCTAGCTGGGGAGACAGACAAGGAAAATGATAACGTTAACAATAAATAGTAAGTCCTGGGCCTTGTCGGGAGATATAATCAGAGAAGGCTTCTCGGAGGTCGTGGCCTTGCCAGACGAGAAGGCCACCGCAAGCGGTCCCTATTGAACCTGCCTTCTCAGCTTCGGTGCCAAAGACCCGGGGCGGCGAAACGACCAGGAGGATAAAAGAACAATCTAGCTACAGCGGCTGCCGAAATAGCTCAGTTGGGAGAGCGTTAGACTGAAGATCTAAAGGTCCCTGGTTCGATCCCGGGTTTCGGCAGTTTCCCTTTTCCTTCCTGGTGGGGGGGAAAAAGGAGGTGCATACACGGAGCCGATTCTTTACAATTAATTAAAGGCTTTTACTTTCTATATATATATATATTTTTTTTTTGAGACGGAGTCTTGCTCCGTCGCCCAGGCTGGAGTGCAGTGGCCGGATCTCAGCTCACTGCAAGCTCCGCCTCCCGGGTTCACGCCTTTCTCCTGGCTCAGCCTCCCAAGTAGCTGGGACTACAGGCGCCCGCCACCACGCCTGGCTAGTTTTTTGTATTTTTTAGTAGAGACGGGGTTTCACCGTGTTAGCCAGGATGGTCTCGGTCTCGATCTCCTGACCTCGTGATCCACCCGTCTCGGCCTCCCAAAGTGCTGGGATTACAGGCTTGAGCCACCGCGCCCGGCCTTACTTTCTATATTTAAGAAAGCCCCGAGCAGTGTCCACGAGGAGCCGGAGGGGCGGAGGGGAAGAGAACTCTCTCGCCACTCACCGTTTGGGTAAATCAAATAAGGTCAAGTTTTTCCCGTCTCCACCTCCTTCATGTCTCAAATGCACTTGCTGATGCCTGTTTGTTCATTTTTGCTTTCTGTTTTTTAATGTCTGCTTTCTGAACTCTCGTGGCAAAATGAAAGACTGAGCAGGAAACGATCGCCTTAAAATGGCATGAAGTCAAGTCGGACCTGTTGTTTTGTGGGAAATACAAAATATTTAATTCTTTGGAACCTGTTTAGGGAAAGCTACATTTACTTTAAGAGAGTGACTTGAAGTCAGCTTCTCATGGGCGGTCCTCGTTAGTATAGTGGTGAGTATCCCCGCCTGTCACGCGGGAGACCGGGGTTCGATTCCCCGACGGGGAGGCTGGTAACGTTTTTACCGTTCCTCTATATTTTTCCTCACTCTTCCTAAGAATAAACCCTGCAGGTAAACGGGAATCTGGTTCTGTGGTTGTCTGTGGCCTTGCTGCGTGTCACACGGTTACGGAAAAGCAAGAAAAAGGCAGTGCTCGCATGAGGAAGTGTTCATCCATTTCTTTCTTTTTTTTTCTGAGATGGAGTCTCGCTCTGCCGCCAGGCTGGAGTGCAGTGGCGCAATCTCCTCCTCCTCTGTCTCCTGGGTTCAAGCGATTCTCCTTCCTCAGCCTCCCAAGTAGCTGGGATTACAGGCGCGCGCCACCAGGCCCGGCTAAGTTTTGTATATTTAGTAGAGATGGGGTTTCACCGTTTTGAAACAGGGGTTTCACGCCTACAATCCCAGAACTTTGGGAGGCCGAGGTGGGCGGATCACCTGAGGTCGGGAGTTCGAGACCAGACCGACCCACACGGAGAAACCCCATCTCGACTAAAGCTACAAAATTAGCTGGGCTTGGTGGCACATGCCTATAATCCCAGCTACTCGGGGGCTGAGGCAGGAGAATCGCTTGCACCTGGGAGGTGGAGGTTGCGGTGAGCCAAGATCACGCCATTGCACTCCAGCCTGGGCAACAAGAACAAAACTCCGTCTCAACAAAAAGGAAGAAGAATTGGCAGCGGGGCACGGTGGCTCACGCCTGTAATCCCAGAACTTTGGGAGGCCGAGGCGGGTGGATCACCTGAGGTCGGGAGTTTGAGAACAGCCTGACCAACATGGAGAAACCCCGTCTCGGCTGGGCGCGGTGGCTCAAGCCTGTAATCCCAGCACTTTGGGAGGCCGAGACGGGCGGATCACGAGGTCAGGAGATCGAGAGACGATCCCGGCTAACACGGTGAAACCCCGTCTCTACTAAAAAATACAAAAAACTAGCCGGGCGAGGTGGCGGGCGCCTGTAGTCCCAGCTACTCGGGAGGCTGAGGCAGGAGAATGGCGTAAACCCGGGAGGCGGAGCTTGCAGTGAGCTGAGATCCGGCCACTGCACTCCAGCCTGAGTGACAGAGCAAGACTCCGTCTCAAAAAAAAAAAAAAAAAAAAGAAACCCCGTCTCTACCAAAAAATACAAAATTAGCTGGATACAAAATTAGCTGGGCGTGGTGGCGCATGCCTGTAATCCTAGCTACTGGGGAGGATGAGGCAGGAGAATCGCCTGAACCTGGCAGGCAGAGGTTGCAGTGAGCAGAGATCGCGCCATTGCACTCCAGCCTGGGCAACAAGAGCGACGCTCCGCCTCAAAAAATAAAGAATTAGAAGATCTAAATAGCATTCTAGGCAGAGCGAACAGCAAGTACAAAGGCCCTGAGCTGGGAAGAAACAGTGAGGAGGCTGGTGTGGCAGGAAGAGGAGAGGAAGGAGGGAGGAGAGGGCAGCAGGAGGTGAAGTCAGAGCGGCCCTCAGAGGACAGATTACATCGTACCTTGAAGGGATACAGAGGGCAGGAGGCATGGGTTTGATTCTGAGAGTTTCATGCAGAGAGAAATATTCAGATTTGTTCTGAGCAGTGCCCTCTGGCAGCCAGGTGGGTGGGCACAAGAGGAAGCAGGGGCACCTGCGGACTGAATACAACCTGTGGGCTTGCTCCTCAACCACGTCCAAAATGATGCCCCCTATGGCGCCATCCTGCTCTTCTGCTGCCAGGGTCTCTCCCCCGTGGCTCCTACTTAGGCTGGGGGAATGAGGTCAGAGGATGGTTTGCACGGTGCTCCCCATTCCTCATCTCCCCACTGCCCTCTTGCTCTCCCCCATCTCCCCAAAACGGGTCAGCAAGGCACCACGCCGGGCTGAATAGAAGAGGCAACTGCCCTCCAGTAGAGTTCTATGATAATAACACGTTTATAACAGCCAGACCCACATTTCACAGTCCCTGCTTTCTATTTACTTATTTATTTATTTGAGACGGAGTTTTGCTCTTGTTGCCCAGGCTGGAGTGCAGTAGTGCGACCTCGGCTTACTGCAACCTCCACCTCCTGTGTTCAAGCGATTCTCCTGCCTCAGTCTCCTGAGTAGCTGGGATTACAGGCACGCGCCACCATGCCCCGCTATTTTTTTGTGTTTTTAATAGAGACGGGGTTTCCTCATGTTGGCCAGGCTGGTCTCGAACTTCTGACCTCAGGTGATCCACCCACCTCGGCCTCCCAAAGTGCAGGGATTACAGTTGTGAGCCACTGCGCCTGGCCTTATTTATTTATTTAATTTTTGAGACAGGGTCTTGCTCTGTCGCCCAGGCTGGAGGGCAGTGGCGCAATCTCAGCTCACTTTAGTCTTGACCTCCCAGACTCAAGAGATCCTCCTGCCTCAGCCTCCTGAGTGGGGGTGGGGTGGGGTGTCTCACTGTGTTTCCCTGGCAGGTCTTGAACGCCTGGGCTCCAGCAATCCTCCCACCTCGGCTTCCTTAAGCACTGGGATTACAGACCTGAGCCACTGCACCCGGCCCAGAGCCTGTGCTTTCTACCAAACACTATTGTACATGTTTTATGTGTAACTCACTAAATTGTCACAACAACCAGATGAGGTAGGTACCTTCAAATCTCTATTTCACACATGAGGCCCAGAGGTTAGGTGATGCAATCACAGCTGATATATCCAGCACTTCCTTCCCCAAGTCTACTAACTTTTCTGACAATTCCGCATGGCCTTTGGCGAGGAAGAGTCACAGGTGCCAGCAACGGTCAGGGAACTATGGAGAACGAGGTGGCAGGACATTTTTGAGGCAAGTTTTCCGTATCACAGTAAGTGTCTATTTCCAGCCAAGAAATATCAAGGCTGATGGAAAAAGGTATAGCCTTCAGTTTCCTGCCCTCTCCTAGCTTCTCACCCACTCTTTCCCCAAGGAATGGCTTTGTGATGACCTGAAGGACACTAAACATTGTGGCTTCTCTCCTCTGGTGTGCTTAAGAAACTCTCTGGAAAAGAGAGATGCAAATTCACAGTTAAAGAATGGATCTTAGGGCCGGGCACGGTGGCTCACTCCTGTAATCCCAGGATTTTGGGAGGCGGGAGGCGGTATGCAAACCTCAAAGTCACTGAAGGTTGGTACGGTTTTAAAGGATGAGAAATCAGAGGTTTCTGGGTGAAGGTACAATCAAGCCAATGCCCTTATTTATTGGAAAGAAACTCAATTTTCCTTCTCTTCTCTTCTCTTTTGTCTGTGAAGAGGAACATTTAAGAACGGGTCAGTTTTCATTTGTTCCTTGGTTCTGGTATCCGCTAGAATTGTATTTGCAAGGTTATGAGGAGCTGACCTACTTGGGAAACATAAAACAATTATCTTGTTGTTGTTGTGGTTTCGCTAAACTCTAACACTCAGTTAAACACACAAAAGTTTAATTTAGAAAATAACCTTGGCCGGGCGCGGTGGCTCACGCCTGTAATCCCAGCACTTTGGAAGGCCGAGGCGGGCGGATCACAAGGTCAGGAGATCGAGACCATGGTGAAACCCCGTCTCTACTAAAAATAGAAAAAAATTAGCCGGCGCAGTGGCGGGCGCCTGTAGTCCCAGCTACTCGGGAGGCTGAGGCGGAGAATGGCGTGAACCCGGGAGGCGGAGCTTGCAGTGAGCCGAGATTGCGCCACTGCACTCCAGCCTGGGTGACAGAGCGAGACTCCGTCTCAAAAAAAAAAAAAAAAAAAAAAAAAAAAAATAACCTTGGCTGGGCACAGTGGCTCACGCCTGTAATCCCAGCACTCTGGGAGGCCAAGGCAAGTGGATCACCTGAGGTCAGGAGTTCAAGACCAGCCTGGCCAACATGCGGAAACCCCCATCTCTACTAAAAACACAAAAATTAGCAGGTGTGGTGGTGCACACCTGTAGTCCCAGCTACTCGGGACGCCAAGGCACAAGAATCGCTTGGACCCACGAGGTGGACGTTGCAGTGAGCCGAGATCGGGCCACTGCACTCCAGCCCGGGCGACAGAGCGAAACTCTGTCTCAAAACAAACAAACCAACCAAAAACTAAAAGCCTCTTGCACTCCCATGTGTATTGCAGCTTTATTCACAAGTGCCTAGATGTGGAATCCACCCAAGTGTCCGTCAACAGACACATGGATAGAGAAAATGTGGTGTACATACACAATAGAATACTATTCGACCTTTAAAAAATACAAAACAAAATGAAATCCTGGCATTTTTCCTCTACAAAACAAAAACAAAAACATGCTTAAGTTTGGGGGACATTACATAAAGTGAAATGAGCCAAGCACAGAAAGATAAACACGGCATGATCTCACTCATATGCAGAAGCTGAAATAGTTGCTCTCACAAATAGAGAGTAGAATAGTGGTTACCGCAGGTGGTGAAGGTGGGGGAGGTGGGAATAGCCAAAGGTGGGTTACTGGATACAAAAGTACAGCGAAATAGGAGAATAAGTTCCAGTGTCCCTATAGGGTGAATACAACAACTTATTGTATGTTTTCAAATAGCTGGAAGCATGGATTTTTAATGTCTCCCAACACAAAGAAACGATACATGTTTGAAGGGATGGATGTGGTCATTGTCCTGACTTGAACATTACAAATTGTGTACATAGATCACAACATCACACCACACTTCATAAATATGCACAATTGTTATGTGTCAATTAAAACAGTAATAAAAGCCAAAAATAAAAATGAAACACGTGGAAACAGGAAAAACGCCTTTAAGTACAGAGTATAGCAAGGACTTCCAAAAGGAAGCATAGGAAAGGGAGGGGGATGTAGCTCAGTGGTAGAGCGCATGCTTTGCATGCATGAGGCCCCGGGTTCGATCCCCGGCATCTCCATTACGGTTTTGCTGATTTCTCTATTCATTGTGGTCCATGGCTCCTTATTATTAAACTGCCATGGATGTGATCATTATATGTATTATGATTCCAGGCACTACTTGGAGCTCAGATTTTCACACCAGGCGTGATCTTCCCATTCTGAAATCTCTAATGTTTCAAATGCACATGAGTTAGAAGAGGCTGATGGGAGTAATCAGCAGAAAAGTGTTAAGGCAAAACCTGACTGGATGATTGAAACCACAGCAAATGTGAGCAGGAAGATCATCTGGGGAGTGTACACCACATCTTGTGCCACTGTGATTGCACTGCACTGGTCTCGAGGGCTGTTGACGCATTCCTGGCCATCGGGGGGGCAAGTGTGTAAGTTGCTGGAAGGTCTGGGCCCCCCTGTTTGCCATCTCACTCCTCCTCTGCACTGCCACTAACCACCTCATTTGCATGGGAGGAACCCAAAGGCAAACTCGCATCCCACCAGGGCTTTGCTCTCTGCTTCCTCAGCAACACGTCTCCATGGCTGTAATGCACACGCAATTTACATTTATATTCATACACTGTGTTCCGGGGTGAGGAGACCTGCAAACCTACCCCAAAGGTCAAGGGAGCTGAGAGGCCAAAGAAAGGGGCTGACAAACCCAGTTTCTCAGGAAAAAACATTTATTAGGGACTTACCAACAGAAGCCATAGTCTCAGGGTGGTCATCAGAGGATATAAAGTTCACTGTGCCATAACCCCCAACCCAGGGCTTCTATACCATAGGGAAGGAATATTTAGGACAATTGAAGTCAACCCTTCAAGCAAAGGCAAGAATGTTATATGAATCTGCATAAGGGCAGGATTTATGATCTAGGTTGTTCTGATCTAAGGGCAGAATTTATGGTAACAGTAAAGTAGAAATCTTAGAGGCCTTCCTGGAAGAGGCATTAATCAGAAGTTATCTTGGCAGATTAGCATCCAAGATGGAGTTGCTTTCACCTCCACTGTGTTTCTGTATCTTACCATTGAAAGCAAAAGATGGTGGCTCAGGCCTGTAATCCCAGCACTTTGGGAGGCATGAGGCAGGAGTATTGCTTGAGCCCAGGAGTTTGAAAGCAGCCTGGGCAACAAAGGGAGATCTGTCTCAATAAAGAAAAGAAAAGGAAAGAAACAAAGAAAGAAGGAAAGAAAGACAGAAAAAAAAGAAAGATTTACTTGCATGCATGATCTTTAGGCAAAAATAAATACATAAACATAAATAATATTTTTAAAATTTAACCAGGTCCCATCTCTCTAAATAATAATAAGAATGAAAGAAGGGATTCTGCTGCATTCTGTGGTACAGTTCTTTGCAATTATAATGAATTCCTCACCTGTCAGCCCCTTTCTTTCGTTTGACTTGACTTCATGTTTTAAATGGTAAAAGTGTCTAATCTTAGATCTAGAGCTTTCATTTTTGAGATGAGGAAACTGAAACTTGTGAACTGACTCACCAGTTAGGTGGTGACGCATTGGTGACAGCTTGTTTCTAATGAGCTTCAGGAAAGGTTATTTCTCCCTGAAAGTCAACAAAGTTTTAAGGGAAAAAACGTTGAAGATCATTTCTGAAGTCATCAGGACTAAAACAAAACTTACATCTTCTGTAACTGCCCAAAGGTTTCTCCTTGCCCTCTGCCTAGACAGAGCCCATTTATTAAGACAGGGAAATTGTGATCCGCCCACCTCAGCCTCCCAAAGTGCTGGGATTACAGGCGTGAGCCACCTTGCCCTGGCATAATAGAGAACGTTTAATTCACACACAGCTGGCAGTGTGGGAGACGGGAGTTTTACTATTACTCAAATTAGTCTCCCTGAAAACTCAGGGATTGGAGTTTTGAATAATAATTTGGTGGGTAGGGAGGTCGGGAAATTGGGAGTACTGATCGGTTGGATTGGAGATGAAATCACAGAGTCAAAGCTGTCCCTTTGCCCTGAGTCAGTTCCTAGGTGGGGGCCACAAGACCAGATAAGCCAGTTTATCAATCCGGGCAGTGTCAGTTGGCCCAATGAGTGCAGAGTATGCAAAATATCTTAAGCACTGGTCTTAGGTTTTTACAATAGTGATGTTTTATCTTCAGGAGCAATTTGGGCATGGACAGAATCTTGCAGTCTCCAGCTGCGTGACTCCTAAACCATAATTTCTAATCTTGTGACCAATTTGTTAGTCCTGTAAAGCAGTCTCATGCCCAGGCAGGAAGGGGGCTTGTTTTGGAAAAAGGCTGTTATCACCTTTGTTTCAAAATTAAATTATAAACTAAGTTCCTCCAAAGTCAGTTCAGCCTACACCTAGGGATGAACAAAGACAGTGGAGGTTAGGCACAACATGGCGTCAATGAGGTCAGATCTCTTTCATTGTAATAATTTTCTGTTATGACTTTGGTAAAGGCAGTTTCACTTCTGTTTTGTTTCTTGTTTATTTATTTATTTATTTATTTATTTATTTATTTATTTTTCTTGAGACAGGGTCTGTTTCTGTTGCCCAGGCTGGAGTGCTGTAGTGCAGTCACAGCTCACTGCAGCCTCAAACTCCTAGGCTCAAGCGATGCTCCCACATCATCCTCCCGAGCAGCTGGAACTACAGGCATGCACCACCGCCTGGCTAATTTTTGTTTGTTTTGGTAGAGACAGGGTTTCACCATGTAGCTCAGGCTGGTCTTTAACTCCTGGGCTGAAATAACCCTCTCACGCTGGCCTCCCAAAATGCTGGGATTACACGTGTAAGCCACCATGCCTATTTTTTTTCAATTTTTTTATTTTTATTTCTTACTATGACCCCCACTTATATGACATTACTTTGTACCTTATAATTAAATATTTCAGCCAGGCACATTGGCTCACGTCTGTATTCCCAGCCCTGTGGGAGGCCAGGGCAGGAGGATCACTTGAGCCCAGGAGTTCAAGACCAGCCTGGGCAACATGGTGAAACCCCCATCTCTTATTTTATTTTTTGGAGACGGAGTCTCACTCTGTCACCCAGGCTGGAGTGCAGTGGCACACGATCTCGACTCACTGCAACCTCTGCCTCTAGGGCTCAAGTGATTCTCCTGCCTCAGCCTCTAGAGTAGCTGGGACTACAGGCGTGAGCTACCGCGCCTGATAATGTTTGTATTTTTAGTAGAGATGGAGTTTCAGCACGTTGGCCAGGTTGGTCTCCAACTCCTGACCTCAGGTATCCACCTACCTCAGACTCCCAAAGTGCGAAACCCTGCTCTCTACAAAAAAAAAAAAAACAAAAATTAGGTGTGGTGCCACATACCTGTAGTCCTCCCTACCCAGGAGGCTGAGGTGGGAGGATCACTTGAGCCTGAATGTCCAGGCTGCAGAGTGAGCCGTGATCATACCACTGCATGACAGAGCGAGATACTGTTTCAAAAAACAAAGAAACAAAGCCAAATATTTCTGCTAGTGCATGACAAGGAAAAAAAATACCTCAAGGAGTTGTTATTGTTAAAGGCTAGTGTTAGGAACTGGAGCTTCCTAGAAATACTCTTTGAAAAAAGTGCTTTTTCAACTACTAAATTTTATTTTACACTTAAAGCTTATTATATGAGGTCACATGAGTAGTCAAATTCATAGAGACACAAAGTAGAATGGTGGATGCCAGGGGCTGGTGGGAGGAGAAATGGGGAGTTAGTTTTTCATGGGGACAGATTTGTTTTGCAAGATGAAAAGAGTTCCAGAAACGGATGGTGGTGACGGCTGATGCACAACACTGAATGTACTTCATGCTACAAAAAATGTACACTTAAGAATGGTAAATTTTATGTGTATTTTACAATTTTTTTTTTTTTTTTTTTTTTTTTGAGACGGAGTCTGGCTCTGTTGCCCAGGCTGGAGTGCAGTGGCCGGATCTCAGCTCACTGCAAGCCCCGCCTCCCGGGTTCACGCCATTCTCCTGCCTCAGCCTCCCGAGTAGCTGGGAGTACAGGCGCCCGCCACCTCGCCCGGCTAATTTTTTTTGTATTTTAGTAGAGACGGGGTTTCACCGTGTTAGCCAGGATGGTCTCGATCTCCTGAACTCATGATTCGCCCGTCTCGGCCTCCCAAAGTGCTGGGATTACAGGCTTGAGCCACCGCGCCCGGCCGTATTTTACAATTTTAAGACAAAACCAAACAACGACAAAAACAAAGCCCAAATAGGTTAAATAACTTCCTAATGTTCCTAAACTAGGCAAATTTAGAGACTAGCTCTTAAGTCCGGTTTTGACTGCTGAGATGAATGGGTTATTTTTAAGCTGGAGCAGTTTGTGTTCCACCACACAGTTATACAACACAAGTAGAAACAGGAAGAACATATTCCCTAAGGGTTTTTTTTTCTTCCTGTTTGCCAGGCCTTAACCTGCAGGCGTCCTTGACAACCTTTTCTGGTTATATAAGCCATGACAAAGCAAGGCAAACCCTTCCCACCACCTCTCTGACTCCACCCTTTTTCTTGGGGGAAACAAGTTTGTTGACCCTCACTCATGCTCTCAGATAGTTTCATGGGGCTGGATTAAATCACATACAAGGTGGTGACTTTCAGAAGGTGGAACTGAATCCTTAGGGGGAGGGGAGAAAGGAAGGCGGAAGAGCAGGCACTGATCCACCCCCGCACCGCCCAGCTGCAGCCCAGCAGCCGGGCCCTTTGTGAGCTCAGCCCATCACATGCTCCCTTCCGCCTGCCAATCCCGCCCTGTTGCTGGGCCTCTGTCCCTTCTCCATTGGTGCCAGCTCTGAAGCAATCTTTTCTGGGGCGCCTGCAAAGGACGGATCTGTGGGTGGAACGAACTGAAAACGGATTCAGTGACTCATCCCGATTCTCGCACATTCTAGCACATCGCATTCTAGGTCAGCAGGGTTTAGGTTTTAAGAGCGTGACTTGATACCTGACTCCTGAGTCCAAGTGGGACATTTAGACTTTGGGAACCCTTTCGGAAAATAGAAAAGCCGTCGTTGCAACAACAAAAATCCTTTGTAGGACACGGTTTCTCAATTTCAGCACTATTAACATTTTGGGTGGGATTATTGTGGGAGACTGTTCCTCACAGAATGTTCAGCGGCATCCCTGGTGTCTACCAAGAGTGCTAGTATTAGTAGTAGCACCCCCTAACCTCCCTGAGTTGTGACAACCAAGAATATCTCCAGATATTGCCAAATGTCCCCCTGAAGGGCAAATCACTCCGTGTTGAGAACCATTGTTCTAGAGAAGCATCAGACACCTGTGTTTTGGGAGGCCATTTTCTTTTCCTTTCTCTGTCACCTCAGTGACCTTGGAGAAAGGTTTATTTCTGTTTGCTTCAATAACCATTTAAGTCGGGGAATGCTGGGGTGTTTTCAATAATTTTTTTCTGCTAGAGACAACACTGGTTTCTCTTTGTAGCTCACCTTTGGCCCATTACCCACCCTACCCTTATCCCCTCTTCTTCCTTTTTCCTCCTCCTGACCTCCTCTCCCTCCCATCCCTCTGCAGTCAGGGCTGTTTTTTCTCTGTACCTTTTGGACTCTGAATAAAGCTATGTCACAAAGCTGGTGACTCAGCCTTTAAACAACATGAATCACAAGGCTTGCAGCAGAGCAACAGCCAAAAGCAAATCAGGGCGTGGTTGAAAGCCAGGCCTCGTCACCTCACAAAGAATCTCAGCTTTTTATTCCTTTCAAAACTCCTTCCCGAAATCTAGGGGAAAAACAAAAAACAAAAACTTTGCAGAAATGTGTATTGGAACTCACTGGGGTTTCCTGCCAATCCTGGAAGATGACACTTATTATTCCTTTTAATTTCCCACTAACACATGAATTCATTCTCTTAAAATTGTTAAAAATTAGAGATGTCAAAGTCTGTTTTGAACATTGCACAGATCTTGGATTTTCATAAATACACACAAACATGGGTTACCATAGAGAATATGTAGCAGGTTCATTTTGCTTTGATGCATATTTTAAGTGTGCCGTTTAAATAATGTAATGTTCATAACTTAAAACAAGAATGTAGTCTTTTCCTAATGGCAAAATATTTTTCAGTTGCTAGCCTCTTTTTCTCTCTTTTTGAAGCTTTCAAGGGTAGAAATCAAAATAGTCTCCCTACCTCCAATACATTTGTAGAAACAGGGACTATTTCTAGAAGACTCCAGAAGGGACAGTGACTGGGAAATTGAAGGCATGAGGGAGACTTTTCACTGTACACTTTAAAAAGACACATTTAAAAAATCTCACCATGTTCGTATTTGTTAAAACATTTTAAAAATATACTGAAGAAATGACACATAAGGATCACAAAATAGGTTGTGGTAAAAATTTAAAAACCTGGCTGGTGATTCTTTTCTCCCCACTTCTTTTATCAAAATAGAATTGCCCTGTAGAATTACATTTCATATTTGATACCCTACCCTGCCCTGAAATAGGGCTGGGATTCTATTCCTGTCTTTTAAAACCTTCGGTTTAAATGGGTCCGATTATTGAATGGATCCTGATTACAATAATCGTACCCATTGAAACCAGAGAAATTTCTAGGCCTCCCTGTTGAAACCAAGTAGGACCTTTCCATACCCGGCCCTCAGAATGTACACGAAGGTGAAAGAACAGTCTAGAAGGATGTCGTTCCCTCAGCCTTGGGTTCCAGCTAAAAAAAAAAACTGTGTGGGGTTTCCGCCTCACTTTTCCAAATTTAACCTGGACACCAGCTCCTCTGCAGTGTCTCCCCTCGAAAGTTCTCGAGCGTTCCCCAGCTTTAGGGCCGCGCCCGGCCTGAGATCTGCTGAGTCATTGTCCTTGTCCCGCGGCCCGCAGCGGGGGAGGGGCGCGGCACCGGGGAGCCCCCGCGACCGGGCTGGGAAGCTCAGGAAGACTGAGGGGGGCTGAGCAAAGAAAGCCCCGTCATTATCTCAAATGTGACCCAAAAATAAAGACCCGTCCGTCTCGCGGGGTGGGCCAGGGCGGGTCGCGAGGGAGGGGAGGGAGACCCCGACTCTGCGGGAGGCGCTCCGTCCGCGCCCCACGTCCGCCGAACGCGGGGTTCGCGACCCGAGGGGACCGCGGGGGCTGAGAGGAGGGGCCGCGGCTGAGGAACGCGGGCTGCCCACCCGCTCCTGGCGCCGCAGAGTCCGCACCGGGTTTTGGCGCCTCCCGCGGACGCCCCCTCCTCTCGGCGAGCGCCTCCACGTCATGGCCGCAGGGCGCAGCGAGCGCCCTGATTCTTCCGCTTGGGCGCTCAGGACGGCGGCCCGCTGCCCACCAGACTCAGTCCCAGAACCCCAGTCTCAGCAGGAGGACATTTTGGGACGGGACTTGGGTGACTGTAGGGCACTGGTTTTCTTTCCAGAGACCGGAACGGGCGAGCAAAAGTAGTCCCTTCTCGGCGATTCTGCGGAGGAATTTCCTTGGGGCGGTGAACGCCGATGACTATATAAGGACGCGCCGGGTGTGGCGCAGCTAGTTCCGTCGCAGCCGGGAGTGGGATCGCAGTTCTTGTTTGTGTGTCGGTGTCATCGCCACTTGGTGAGCAGAGGGCTGCTGGGCCGGCCATGGCTTTCGTGGCCGCTGGGCCGCTCGGTGGGATGGAGGGGGGCCGACGCCGCGGGATGAGAGGCCGCCGAGGGCTGTAGTCTGGGTCCGCGAGCAAGGTGCCCCTGAGCAGCGGGTGGGAGGGGAGCGCAGCAAAATGGCGGCTGTTCCCGGCTCTTGAATGGAAGACGGTTGTGAGGCGGGCTGTGAGGTTGTTGAAACAAGGTGGGGGGCATGGTTTGCGGCAAGAACCCAAGGCCTTGAGGTTTTCGCTAATGCGGGAACGCTCTTATTGTGGTGAGGTGGGCTGGGGCACCATTTGGGGACCTTGATGTGAAGTCTGTCACTGACCGGAGAACTCGCTTTGTCGTCTGTTGCGGGGGCGGCAGTTAATGGCGGTGCCACTTGGCAGTGCACCCGTAGCTTGAGGAGCGCGCGCCCTCGCAGTGTCGTGACGTCATCCGTTCTGTTGGCTCATAATGTGGGGTGGGGCCACCTGCCGGTAGGTGTGCAGTAGGCTTTTCTTCGTCGCAGGACGCAGGGTTGGGGCCTAGGGTAGGCCCTCCTGAGTCGACAGGGGCCTGACCTCTGGTGAGGGGAGGGATAAGTGAGGCGTCAGTTTCTTTGGTCAGTTCTATGTTCCTATTTTCTTAAGTAGCTGAAGTCTGAGTTTTAAACTATGCGTTCGGGGTTGGCGAGTGTATTTTGTGAAGTTTCTTAGGTATCTTTTAAATTGTAATCATTTGGGTGAATATAACATATAGTTTAAGTATTAGGAAGATTAGTACATTGTCTGCTAAATGCTGGTGGTTTTTGGCTCTTTTGTTAGACAATGCAGATCTTCGTGAAGACCCTGACTGGCAAGACCATCACTCTTGAGGTTGAGCCCAGTGACACCATTGAGAATGTCAAGGCAAAGATCCAAGATAAGGAAGGCATTCCTCCCGACCAGCAGAGGCTGATCTTTGCCGGAAAGCAGCTGGAAGATGGGCGCACCCTGTCTGACTACAACATCCAGAAAGAGTCCACCCTGCACCTCGTGCTCCGCCTCAGAGGTGGGATGCAGATCTTCGTGAAGACCCTGACTGGCAAGACCATCACCCTCGAGGTCGAGCCCAGTGACACCATCGAGAACGTCAAAGCAAAGATCCAAGACAAGGAAGGCATCCCTCCTGACCAGCAGAGGTTGATCTTTGCCGGGAAACAGCTGGAAGATGGACGCACCCTGTCTGACTACAACATCCAGAAAGAGTCTACCCTGCACCTGGTGCTCCGCCTCAGAGGTGGGATGCAGATCTTCGTGAAGACCCTCACTGGCAAGACCATCACCCTCGAGGTGGAGCCCAGTGACACCATCGAGAATGTCAAGGCAAAGATCCAGGACAAGGAAGGCATTCCTCCTGACCAGCAGAGGTTGATCTTTGCCGGAAAGCAGCTGGAAGATGGGCGCACCCTGTCTGACTACAACATCCAGAAAGAGTCCACCCTGCACCTGGTGCTCCGCCTCAGAGGTGGGATGCAGATCTTCGTGAAGACGCTGACTGGCAAGACCATCACCCTTGAGGTGGAGCCCAGTGACACTATTGAAAATGTCAAGGCAAAGATCCAGGACAAGGAGGGCATCCCTCCTGACCAGCAGAGGTTGATCTTTGCTGGAAAGCAGCTGGAAGATGGGCGCACCTTGTCTGACTACAACATCCAGAAAGAGTCCACCCTGCACCTCGTGCTCCGTCTCAGAGGTGGGATGCAGATCTTCGTGAAGACCCTCACTGGCAAGACCATCACCCTCGAGGTGGAGCCCAGTGACACTATTGAAAATGTCAAGGCAAAGATCCAGGACAAGGAGGGCATCCCTCCTGACCAGCAGAGGTTGATCTTTGCTGGAAAGCAGCTGGAAGATGGGCGCACCCTGTCTGACTACAACATCCAGAAAGAGTCCACCCTGCACCTCGTGCTCCGTCTCAGAGGTGGGATGCAGATCTTCGTGAAGACCCTCACTGGCAAGACCATCACCCTCGAGGTGGAGCCCAGTGACACTATTGAAAATGTCAAGGCAAAGATCCAGGACAAGGAGGCATCCCTCCTGACCAGCAGAGGTTGATCTTTGCTGGAAAGCAGCTGGAGATGGGCGCACCCTGTCTGACTACAACATCCAGAAAGAGTCCACCCTGCACCTCGTGCTCGTCTCAGAGGTGGGATGCAGATCTTCGTGAAGACCCTACTGGCAAGACCATCACCCTCGAGGTGGAGCCCAGCGACACCATTGAGAATGTCAAGGCAAAGATCCAGGATAAGGAAGGCATCCCTCCTGACCAGCAGAGGTTGATCTTTGCTGGGAAACAGCTGGAAGATGGGCGCACCCTGTCTGACTACAACATCCAGAAAGAGTCCACCCTGCACCTGGTGCTCCGCCTCAGAGGTGGGATGCAGATCTTCGTGAAGACCCTCACTGGCAAGACCATCACCCTTGAGGTGGAGCCCAGCGACACCATTGAGAATGTCAAGGCAAAGATCCAGGACAAGGAAGGCATCCCTCCTGACCAGCAGAGGTTGATCTTTGCTGGGAAACAGCTGGAAGATGGACGCACCCTGTCTGACTACAACATCCAGAAAGAGTCCACTCTGCACTTGGTCCTGCGCTTGAGGGGGGGTGTCTAAGTTTCCCCTTTTAAGGTTTCAACAAATTTCATTGCACTTTTCTTTCAATAAAGTTGTTGCATTCCCAACTGGTGTGGTTTTTTAAAAGTTAAGGTTATTTTGCATTAGACTGGGTGAAGGGGATCAAGGTTTTCAGTTTACAAATGTTGCTGTGGTAACAGTGAAATGTCAGTGAAGGGGTTGACCTTAATATAGTACGAACTGTAGAAGGTGGGTGCAAATAAAAGCCGGCTTCAAGACCAGATTGGCCAATGTGGTGAAACCCTATGTCTACTGCAAATACAAAAAGGCAGGTGTGGTGAGTGTCTGTGATTCCAGCTACATGGGAGGGTGAAGGAGAATCCCTTGAACCAACTAAGCGGAGGTTGCTGTGATCTGAGTGCCACTGTCCTCCCGCTGGGGGAACAGCAAGACAAAAAAGTTGTTGGGAGATGGAAGTATTTTACATACGTAGATTTAACTCTTAAGTTAACTTTAAAAATACTGGTTTGTGGGTGATGTGTGAGGTAAGAGAATGGGAGAATTACCGGAACACCAGGAAGAAGGAAGGAATTTTAAAAGGTGGGAGTGGTGGGAGGGTAACTATGAAAGGATGCTTCAAGTACATAGGTCTGTATAAATGCGCATTGAGCTGCGTAGACAGTCATGGGATCAAATTTTAAGAGGATGTGGTAGGTAAAGGATTAAAAGGCATAGCCACCAAGGTGTAGAAAAGGAATTGGTTAGAGAATGAGCTATTCCTTGAAACAATTCTTGCTGATAAAATGTCAGATTTTATGTGACTACAGATGGAGGATTGGCACATAACCAGTGGGGGAAACAATTGACCTCTGGATTTGTCCCAAGTGTATGGTAGCATTTGCCCAATCGAATGGTCCTGGTAAGGTGTTGACTAGAACCAAAGGTGGAAGTTGCAGGGAAACTGGTTTAATACAAGGGGTGGACACCAGGCAGTCATCCAGAGGCCCTTTAAAGGTCTTGGAAGGTTTTTCCCCAAGGGGAATCACTCCTTCCCTTTTCCCCTAAAGTTTTAGGGGATTCATGAACAACCTCTGCTGTGGAAGAATCTCACGTTGGCAGCAATTGTAAAGCAGCTAAGGGTGGCTTAAACCAGTTTTAGCTTTAGGGTTAGGGTTACTGGACTAAAATTTGAGAAATCTGTAAATCTTAAGGAAATCCTTTGTGAGTTTTCATTATGAGTGCATCTAATGTATAATAATTTCCATGACCCTCCCATGCAAGTGAGTACGTGAATCAGGAAACATTACAAGAACCCAACAAACTCAACCACTACTAGGCAGGCGATCACTTCCAGTTAGTATGCAAATTTCTGTGTAATTTTAGTGCCCATTAAAATTTGTGTGACCTTAGTATAAGGAAAAAATACCTTGAATAGTGTCTTAAAGATGTACACTTGGTGTCAGGCATTGCAACGTTGATAAATCAGTGTCAAGTGCTTTTTGAAAACTTCAAAGCTGCATCAAGTCAAGTGCAAGAAAGGCCGTGGCTGCTAAAGCTGTTGAAGATGTGGGATGTGGGAACTGCGTCATATTGGTGTTACAGCATTGTGCAGAGCCGGCAGGATCTTGGCATGAGCAAACATTAGTCTGTTTTAAGCTGT